AGGAGAGCTTCAACTCTCATTTCTTCACACCAACAAAGAGAGAAAGAAAGAGTGAGGTTTCACTGACAAGGTATAAGAAAATAGTCTGTGAAGAAAATAGAGAGTAAGCGATATTGTAGTGAGGTGGGAATATCAAAAGAGGGTTATTTCTTTTGAGTGTTGTAGTGGTCTTTGGAGTATTTATCTCCGACCTACAAAGTGTAAAATTCCTTACTATAGTGATATCAGTTGCTCCTCTCGGGGTAGTGGTTTTTTCCCTTATTCAGAAGGGTTTTCCACGTAAAAATCTTGGTGTCATTGTTACTCTTTTATTCTTGTTAATTACCGTATCTCGGTGCTACATTATTATTCCGCTTTATTACCGTGAATATTATTTTGGTAAGGGGTTTATTCCCAACAAAAATGATAATCTAAGTTGATATAGTTAGTAGTTAACTTATCTGATACAAATGTAAGCATAAGAAAATGAGTAAAATTATAACATAGAAGTAAGATCTTCACCAAGAACTGGATCAACTCCAGACCGAGAAAGACATCCAAAAGCAATTGCTGCAAGATCTGCTGAGACTGCACAGCAGATAATTGGATGAAAAACCTTCTTTACAGCCAATGGAAGCCTGCGGATATAAACCTTTTGAATGCACACACCAGATAAAATAAACTGAAAATTGTATCTATTCATGCCGAGATGCATGCTGAATCATACCCTGACCCAACTAGGTAGCCTAATACTGTAGATGAAAGTAGAAAGGGTAGGCATGTTCTAGCACTTGTTCCCAGCGCTGTTGGATAGAGAAGTGCACCAACAAATGACGCCAAAAAGATCCCACTCCAAGTCCACACCTCCAAAGAAGAAAAGGGAGATGGCTTTGACATGGGCTCAGCTGGTATCATCTCGGTCTTTACCATTTTCCTGACAGCTATAGCTGTGAAACCTGCAACACAAAGTGAAGCCAACCAGCCTCCAACTGCAGAATTCCAAAATTAGTTACACAATGTGGCAGAGGGAGAGAAGAACAAGAAAGAAGCTGCATCCTTTTTATCACTATATATTCTTTACTAAGAATAACTTATCAATTTAGTACAAACATGTTCAACTCTAAACATGCTCCCTTGAGTTGAATGTCCAAACACTTTGTTTATTTCATAGGAAGATCTTCAGCTATGAGTAACTTAAAAACATTTTCTTGTACACGCCAGCTTAAAGTGTGACTATTATTTGCCTAAGCAAGAGCCTCTAGAAGTTAAATAGGCATTAAACCAGTTAGTTGATTTTAACAGCTGATTCTGCTAAAGAAGCAAAAACATTGCCTTTATTCAATAGAATGAAGATATTGTACCTAGAATGAAACATATCTTGGCCCCAGAAGCAGCAGGAATATCCTTGACAGCAAGAGGGAGAACAACCAAAGAAGGTACATAAAACAAAGGAAGCCATCTCTGGATAAACAAAAGTGCAGGCTCAAAGAAGTTCATCAATCCTGCTGCAGCCTTAGGAACAATAGAGTCAAGAGCCATTAAAACAGTAAATGTGCAAAACATTCCAAATAAAGCACTTGGGAACTTAATAGCAGCAGTCACAAATGCTTTCTTTAACAACTTATCCATAGCCAGTATGATCCCAAGTGAAACTACTAAATGCAATACTCCAACCACCTACAGCAATACAAACACCCAAAAAACATCAAAACTCAAGCTATCCAATCAAATTTACATTATATCACAGAGAAAAAGTGTCGATTTTTTGCCTTGTTTGATAATCCTGTGGAGGTAATACTACTGTCTGATCCCATGGACCTGACTAGAAATCTTCTACTAGAGTTAGTTCTCTTAACACCCATTTCATTTCTCTTGGTAGGGATGAATTGGACTCCATTAGAGCTCAAATGGGGCTGCTGAGAAAGGACTCTATGTGGGGTTTGTAAGGATTTCAACTTTATTTGAGAGAGAGTTCCTGTTCTTGGGTAAGGGAGATTGGGAAGAAATGAAGGTAAAGTCTTTGGAACAGCTGATGCTGTTGCCATGGTGATTCTTGGGAAGTAGAGAATGTAGTTGGAACCATTTTTTGAACTGATTTGGTTAGAAATTTGTGTGGACATGGAAGGAAGTTACTTAATAAGAAGATGATTCTTATTCCCTCCATCACACATACAAGAGTGACTCTTTTTTGCCTCTTACCAAAGTAGAAACAGTTTTGTTCGTTGCCTTTTTGTCTCTAGTGAAATTATTGGGGACTCAATTTCTCGAAAAATATTAAACGGAAGAAGAGAAAATGTAATATATTTATATAAAGGGAAATAGCAATTCCATGCTTTTTTCTTTGTCGAAACTCGAAATCTAATATTTTTGTTTCTTTGCAATTTCCAGTTAACAATATTTGTCTAGTCTTCATTTAACTTGTTCCTTCATCATCAGTTTTACTTTTTTCATTCCCCTTTGGAATTCATAAAATATGTGACCAACTTATCTTTGAACTTTTCACCTTCTCGTATGAATAATTTTCCCAAAAGAGAGAGGCTAAAATAAGAATAAATCATAAAAAATAGACCGACACATTTTATTCTCGTCTAAATTGATTTTTCTTATTCTTTTTTCCTCATTTGACTAATAGCCTGTTTGACCAAATTTCTTTTGAGGCAAAAACACTTTTTTTTGTCGAAAGTGCTTTTTTTTTAAAATTAGGGTGTTTGACCAAACTTTTGAAAGGAAAAAAAGTGTTTTTGGGGAGAAGCAGAAATAGTTTTGGAAAAGCAGAAAAAAGTAGCTTCTCTCCAAAAACACTTTTTTGAAAAGCACTTTTGAGAAAAATACACTTAGAAGCAGTTTTTTAAAGCTTGGTCAAACACTAATTGCTGCTCAAAAATGTTTTTCAAATTAATTAGCCAAACACAAACTGCTTTTCACCAAAAGTACTTTTGAGAAAAACACTTTAGAAAAAAAGCACTTCTCAAAATAAGTTGATTTTTACAGCTTGGCCAAACAGGCTATAAGTTACTCAGGATAACTATAGTGTTAACAACTACAACAATGGTGCTATGGATGAAAATTTGAACAAGGAAAAACTAATAGTAGCAAGGAGTGTTGCCCCGTGTTCCTTCATAACTCAATAAAAGGACATTACGATGAACTAAGCTCCTGATATATGCATAGTTCAAGAAAGGGTCAAATCAGATTAGTTCCATTATACGCAATAAAGGTGTTTTGAGTCATCCGATAGAATTTAGTTGTATTAGTAGCTTTTGGTTATGTGTTTTTATGTTTAGGGCCAAAGTTCTTGTTTGGAGGTAGGTGGCGTTTCGGTAGAGTAGATTAGGATGATTAAGGACATGTACGATGAAGCTAAGACTCGAGTGAGAACTGTGGGAGGAGACTCGGATTATTTACCAGTGGTGATAGGGGTTGCATCAGGGATCAACTCTTAGCCCAAGAGAGATAGTTTCAAATATCTTGGGTCTATAATACAGAGTAACAGGGAGATTGATAAGGATGTCGCACATCGTATTGGAGCGGGGTGGTTGAAATAGAGGCTCGCTTCTAGTGTTTTGTGTGATAGGAATGTGCCATCTAGACTTAAGGGCAAGTTCTACAAAGCGGTAGTTAGACCAGCCATGTTGTATGGAGTTGAGTATTGGCCAGTCAAGAAATCTCATGCCCAGAAGATGAAAGTAGCAGAAATGAGGATGTTGAGATAGATGTGTATGCATACCAGGAAAAATATGATTAAGAATGAATATATTAGGGACAAGATGGATGTGGCTCCTATGGAAGATAAGTTATGGACATGGAAGCTCAGATGGTTCGGACATGTGAAGAGGAGAGACTCTGATGCCCCGGTTAGGAGGTGCAAGAGGTTGCCCATAGCAGGTCAGAGGAGGGATAAAAGGAGGCCTAAGAAGAACTGATGTGAGGTGATTAGGCAGGACATGGCTCTGCTTCGGCTTACCGAGGACATGACCTCCAATAGGAAGGTGTGGAGGTCGAGAATAAGGGTGGTGAGTTGACAGACAGTCTAGAGTTCCGCCTTGTCTTACCAATAGTATTAGTAGTAGTCTTGTATTTTCCTATTCCTAATCCCTTCTTTTTACACGGTGTGTCATTATTATTAGTAGGATTGGCACTATTTTTGTAGTTTTGTATCCCTAGACTTTTGTTATTACTTATTGTACTATTTGCTTCCATTGCCTTATTACCTTGTTGTTGCTATTGTTTGCCAATTGCTTTATTTTCATTGTTTTTGAGTCGATGATCTTTCGGAAACAGCCTCTCCACCTTCATAAAGTAGGAGTAAGGTCTGCGTACACACTATCCCACCCAGACTCCACTTATAGAATTTCACTGAGTTTGTTGTTCTTGTGAAGGCTTACCAAATATGTGGGCAACCAGACTTCTGTTTTTGCTTTGTTATTGTGGTGCTCCTGTTCTAATCTTGGTACCAAACTTCAGACTAACACGATGTGGCAAAAGTGACATCTAAACCCAATTAGAAGAAAGTGATATATACCCTCAATGTTTTGTTTAAAATGTCACTTTTCCAACTAAGGAGTCAAAACATTATTACCTCACACAATTCCAATTTCCGTATATGTCACAGTCCAGAATAACGACAACAATAACCCAATAAAATCTCACTAGTGGGGTATGGGGAAAGTAGTGAGTACACAGATCTTACTCCTACCCCGAAGGGATAAAGAGGCTGTTTTCGAAAGACCCTCGGCTCAAGAGAACAAAAGACAAATGTAGACAATATTAATATCACCACAGAAATCATAAGAAAGTCATAAGAAAATAGGAACAACATAAAATACGGAAGAAAGATGCAAAGCAAAACCGATAGCTAGTAAATAAGTCATGCACTGAAAAATAGTAAGACACAACATTGCCACTAGCTATCTTAGACAAAAACCCTACCAGACTAGTCTCACAGCGGTATTAGTAAGGCAAGACTCAACTACCTCCTAACCTACAACCTTAATGCTTGACCTCCACAACTTCCTATCAAGTGTCATGTCCTCGGAAATCTGAAGCCTCACCATATCATGTCTAATCACCTCTCCCCAATACTTCTTGGGCCGCCCTCTACCTCTTCTCGTTCCCTCCACAACTCCTTACCGGAGCATCTTGGCTTCTCCTCTGAACATGCCCGAACCATCTGAGTCTCGCTTCCGCATCTTGTCATCTCACAGTCCAGAACACATGACAAGAATTGTAATTTCATCTGAGAGGTAAAGAAATCATTTGCTCTCCATTTCAGACAAAAAAAATCAGGATATCAATATACTGGAAGAAGGGATTATTTGAGACATTTTTGATAGCTATAAGTGGCAACTAGAGCTGCTGAAATCAAAAGATTGATCAAGATTTGTACATAATATATGAATGGCAACTGTTGTTTCTCCAATATCTACTTGCATCTACAAGAAAACACAAAAATATCCTCATCTATTATGGGTTTCTTTTGGATTTCACCCGTGCGCCAACTTTGTTAGGCAACTGTAGAGCTGGACAGTTTATAAAGAGGCCCTACAATTTGGAAGTTAATAAGTTCCTTAACTCCTTTCTAAGAATCTTTCCGGCTGCAGACCTGGGTATTGAAGCTTTGAAGTAAACCCTTCTAATCTTCTTGTATGGTGCAACCTATTATAAATATAAGACGTTATGTTAGAAATGGAGGCGCCTACATACATAGAATTGACGGTGCATCATATACATGTATTCTTGAAAATAATAAAAAACAGCCATATCATACAGCAGGGAGACAATCACTTTCTGCCAGATGAAGGGACTAACACAAAATTACATATGGAGAAGCTGATACCTGCTTACAAACAAAGTCGATCACATCTGTTTGGGAAAGTGCACACCCATCTCTCTTGACAACAAATGCCACTGGAATTTCTCCAGCTTCCTCATCTCTGGCTCTGAAGAATCGAATAACAATAAAGTGGATGAGCTCCAGCAACCCGGCCATGCTAAAGTGGCACAAAAAATGATAGTATGCAATCCTTCAAAGATCAGCATGGGAAGATTTGGTGATAGAGAACCAAGGAGGAGTATTTTAACTGACTTTGGCCCCCCATCATCCTCAAATGTTAGAGTAAAGGAATCTCGAGGACCAATAAAAATTTTTACTGTGCACGTGTTGCGGCTACTTAATACAACACATTCAAAGCCAATTAAAAGAATTAAAAATCCAAGCATCTGGTCATGTTCAGAATTCTATTCCAGACTCATTTTAATTATATCTCCATAAAGGAAATAAGTGAAGAAAATTCTCCTTTTGCTATGGTTAGACTCATAATTCAATATCTTTCAGGAATGTATTGACACTATTCATTCCACGTACAAAGTGATGAGAGCATAACATACTACATCAGTCTAGACACCAAAAAGATGTGCAGGACTTCCAGATATACTATGAGCCAAATTGACGTTAGCAGCAAGGAATCAAATTTCTTCTGTAACTCAAGCAAGAGTAT